TGTTTTTGTATGTATTTGCAAAGAGGAATATAGAAGCTGCAATCAGGGGGTACGGCCGATACTCATGTAAGGGGCACGGGCAGCCTAGAGGGCCCGCACATGAGTATCTGCCGATTGTGGCAGGCGAGGAGACGGCCTGGCCCTAGCAGCGCCGGGCCCCAGCTTAGCAGATCCAGCAGCATTGGAGCAGGCTGGGTCCCCATCGGCACCGCTGCTCTTCTGATCTCGGACCGCCGGAAAGTGACATCACTGATCCCAGCGGGTCACTAAGCCCTGAGTCCAGTGGGACTGTAGACATGGATTATAAACACATGGATTGTGTTTATTAAGCAAAATAATAATTTTATACACAATAAAAAAAGATATAAAATATCATTTAAAAAAACGTATGAACATGATAGTTTCCTCTTTGGGCCAATTCACACTTGTCAGAGCACAATGAAAACCAGACAAGAATAAGGTGCTAGTTAAAATATTTTTAAGAACAGGGTCCACAGGAGCAAGCAGAGTCTTAAACCGGAACAAGCCAAAGTCAGGAGCCGGAGTAGGTAGTCGTCCAAGCCAGGTCAGAAACACAGAGATCAACGTAGTCAGGAACAAGCCAGGAGGAGGAGCCAGGAAATCAGCGTTGTCAGGAACAAGCCAGGAGCAAGAGGAGACCGTCAGCCAGGATCGGGTCATACACGGAATCAGGTTACTAGAGCAGCAGGAAAGCACTAGCAGGAAGACCACGCAAGGGCAAGGTCAGACTGGACTGAGTGGTTTATATATAATGAGTGGTGTGACATCATCACTCAGAGACAGGAAACTCCCCTCTGACTCACTCAGATGATGCTCTCCTATCTGGCCATAAGAGGGAGCCTGGGAGTAGTGAGCAAGGTTCCAGAGTCTGTTCGAGCAAGGAAAGAAACAGGTGAGTAAAATGGCAGCCAAGCCAGAATGCTGCAAACCAGTAAAGTCAGGGTGGAACCCTGACAACACTATGGCATTGTGGTAACACATTATAGTGCAGTGCAACACGCGACAATGCATTAATGTGCATTGTGCTGTACTGAGCCACCAGAAATGATGCATCCACCGATTTGGGGAGCGCATCGCATGTTAGTGCATTGCCACACATTGCACATCCATTGGCGAGGTATGTTGGGAGGCCATTGAGAATTGATGCCATTGCATAGCACCAATGTATACAATAGCCATTGCTGTGCGTTGCAGTAAAGTGAGTGGTAACGGAACGCCATAGTGTGAATGGGCCCCTAAAAGATCTGAAACCTTCAGAAAATACATTTATAAGGCCCCATTCACACACGAATCGGCCTGCACGTACAGCTCCGTGCGGGGCCGTACAAAGTAGCTGCCGGGAAGGACAGGTGCTGCGTGTGATTAGAACGCAGCCCCCGTCCTTCTCTATGGGGCTACGCGGCCGTACGCCCCCCTACACTCACCTCATTTGCAGGTCCGTAGGGGTGCGGGTTTTCTGGCTGGGGCGCATACATGTTCCATTCCGGCGGCGTATGAATACGATCACCCGCACCCCTATGGACCTGCAAATGAGTTGAGCGTAGGGGGGCGTACGGACGCGTAGCCCCATAGAGAAGGACGGGGGCTGCGTTCTAATCACACGCAGCACCTGTCCTTCCCGGCAGCTACTTGGTACGGCCCCGCACGCAGCACGGAGCTGTACGTGCAGGTCGATTTGTGTGTGAATGGGGCCTAACTGTAGTCTTGCTTAGTGTTGCCCAGCTCCCCATGCGATCAGCTGTGGAGAAGAAGCCAACACTGTATTCAATGTGATTACTAGACAGGAAGTCGGATGAGCTCCAAAAAATATATATATATCTCCCCTGCGTATTAGAAGTTTATCACAAATTCACACTGTGATAAACTTCAGAAACTTATTTTAATAATCCCAAATAAAACATGTTTACTGCTGTAGAAGAACGGAAATGTTCCCGTGCAGATATATGGAGGATCTCAACAGAAAAAGAGCAGCAATGGATGCAAACAAGTATTCCCCAGCGAGACGCTCCCGTGGAATGATAATCTATTCCCTTTACCAGAAGAGGCTCATTAGACAGGAAAGATCGTATGAAGATGATGCTTTAAAATATTTATCCTCAGCTACGCTTAAAGGTGTCAGAAAACGTCTAGATCTCCGCTAGAAAGTATTTGCATGTATACCTAACAAGTAACATAACCACAGTGACATTTCAGAAAACACAAATGTTGTGTTTTTGGGGGTCTCTATGAGCCTGATGTGTCCTCTGGACCCCCAACCGGTCCATTTCCATATGCCACACTCCATTGCAGAGTGCTGGTGATTCTCGCCCACTTTCCTTAAAGGGGAACTAAGGTAAGATCAAGTGTAGTATCTGTTTTTATCAGTGTTCAGGAGGGGGAAAGTGCCACTGTTCCGACCTTATGGTAAGAATGGCTGGTTGCAGAGTACTCTGCCTGAGTTGATGGGGGTCCCTGACCGAGGCATATCTAAAGCAAGGCAAACAAGGCATTTCCCATAGGGGGTGGCAAACAAAATGCAAGAAATGAACTGAAACTGTGCATTTTGACGAGTACTCGTGAAAATACCCGGAAACTAAAAACCAATACCGGCCATGTTGATTTTAAGATAGATTGAGCTGCCGTAAGGTCCCGCATTTGCTGGGGACCTTGTGGCAACCCTGTGGAGACCGCCTTTACAGCGCCGGCTGCACATCTCTTTCTCCCTGGGGAACCCACGCGGCCTGCACCTGCCCGCGAGACCACACACAGCCATGGTAAGATCCCGCACATCCTCCTGAGAACCCACACAGACATGGTGAGACTTTGCACAGCCCTGGTAAGACCCCGAAGTATAAGCTAAAAGGGGAGGGGCTAATAGAGAGGGGAGTCCAAGTTGGCAAGAAAGTGTTGGTGGTCAGGGGAATACAAGTGGATAGGGCAGTGGTAAGGCTAGAAAAGGAACAACTTCAGATCTGTGGTCAAGGGAAAGGCTCATGATGGTGTTATGCTGCTCCAATAACTTCAGTACTTTACCACTGCATACCTACCAACATTTTAGTCCCAGTCCCCGGGACACAGTTAACCCTGCCCACAGTCTGCCTCAGGCCCACACAATCAATGGGAAACCCCACCCAGACCCTGCCCACTTAGGAGGGTGTCCCTTCCAAACCCCACCTCTAATTATGCAGGGACCACACACTCACAGCCCCTGATAATTGTAATGAATGCTTTATCGAGTTACAGGGTATGCACATCATCAGGACTTAGGTCCAAGATGGTGGACTGCCCTAGGAAATCCAAGACAGTTGGCATCCATACCACTGTCAGAAAAAAATGGAAATTGGTTCAAGGTCAGTACTGAAACATGACTGTGCCAGGTGATTGTCATCTTTAAAAGGAGAACTCAGCAATGATACCCTCCTCCATGTTCCTCTCATAGAAAGTCTCCTTGAACTATAGCCGCGTGACAGGTTTTCTGGCATATGGAGCCCCTTTGATATAAAACTCTGAATTAATGATCATGAGTTTCGGTGTTACATTAGAGGCTCTTCTCCATTCCCGGATCTCCCTGAGACTAGATTAGGGCGGCAGTGATGACTCAGGCAGTGTGATGTGATCTATCAGTAATTGGCAGGTAGATGTGAAATATGGGTAGAGCACAGAGGACTCAACAACCTGTGCTACAAACTGAAATGAAGGTTTAGAGTTGACTCTTCCTGTAATCATTCATATTTTTGGGCATTTATTGACAAATGTCATCGTTTTTACTATGTACTTCAACTTAACGTTAAGAAAATGTTAAAATATTCCAAGTCAGCAGTGGTCAGGACCTACTACAAGTGGTCCAAGGAAGGAAAAACAGTAAACCAGCGACAAGGCTCACTGATGCACGTGGGGAGTGAAGGTTGGCCTGTGTAGTCTGATCTAATAGAAGAGCTACTGTAGATCAAATTGCTGAAAAAGTGAATGCTGGTTCTGATAGAAAAGTGTCTGAACACACGGCGCATCACAGTTTGTTGCGTATGGGGCCCGTGCTGACCCATGTCCACCGCCAAAAGTGACTGCAATGGGCATGTGAGCATCAGAACTGGACCATTGAGCAATGGAAGAATGTGGTTTGGTCTGATGAATCACGTTTTCTTTTACATCGTGTGTGTGTGTGTGTGTGTGTGTGTGTGTGTGTGTGTGTCTTACCTGGGGAAGAGATGGCATCGGGATGGGAAGAGGGCAAGCCAGCGGAGGCAGTCTGATGCCTTGGACAACCTTGGGTCCTGCCATTCATGTGGCTGTTACTTTGACACGTACCACCTGCTGTACCTAAACATTGTTGCTGACCAAGTACACCCCTTCATGGAAACGGTATTCCCTGATGGCAGTGGTCTCTTTCAGCAAGATAATGAGCCTTGAACTAGGTTAAGAATGATTTGCGGAACACAACAACAAGTTTGACGTATTGACTTGACCTCCAAATTCTCCAGATCTAAATCCAATAGAGAATCTGTATGATGTGCTGGAAAAAACAAGTCTGGTCCACGGAGGCCTCACCTCCTAACTTACAGGACTTAAAGGATCTGCTACTGATGGCTTGGTGCCAGATACCCCTGAGGTCTAGCGGAGTCAGTGAGTCAGGGCTGGTTTGGTGGCAAAAGAGGGACCTACTCATTATTAGGTGGGTGGCCAATATGTATCTATGTGGCTCTGGTGGTTTGTAACCAGTTTTCCAATTCTGCCCCTTGCCCTTAGAAGGAGTCTCACTTTTATCTCTGAATTCTCCATTTCAGGAAACTGACTTTACCTAGCTCTCCCATCACTGAAAAATACACTTTTAGATACGATCACCCTTTAAATGATAGGGTTAATCAATACAGTACAGTGCCAATTAGGAAGTAGTCTTGCAATGTGTTTATCAAGCCTAGACTTGCAGGTATCAGTAGAAAAACCATCGCCCTCGCTGTCACCCCTCCCAGGTCCTCCCATAGAAGGAGCAGAGGGACCTGTTTAAATGCAGCATTACCTCTGTGCACGAGCCAGCTGACACACACATCTTCATCAGTCACCCAGGTTGCACAGCACTATGAGACTACTTCTCCACTCAGTGCTCTACAGCGCCCTTGTATGTCTGGGTAAGTCACGCTATGCTTTCTGTTTACGGTCATGAGGGAGGCCAATGTGCCAGTTTGGAAATAATACTGCCTATGGACTTTAGGAGGCATCATTTGACTGCCCTCAGGCTTGCTGATTGGCTAGGCCAATCTTCTCAACTTTTTTACCCTAGAGGTACCCTTGAAATTATTCAGGTCTTGTGGAACCCCTTTGATTCTGTCTACAACTCTCAGTAAATTAGCATGATCAGTACATTGTAGATATATTAATACAAGACGTATTAATATTATCCCCATGTTTCTCCGCAGAGCACTATGGGTTCTTCTGTTAAACCCATAAGTAGTAGTAGTGAGCACCTACTAGACCCCACATTTTGCTGCATTAGCCCCTGTTGGTGATGAGTGGTTAAAGGACCCCCTTACGTAAGTGGGACTAGGGCCTCCTTACATTGGTGACCAGTGTAAGAATGGACCTCTTACACTGCTGGCCAGTTAGAGAGAAGGACCCCCTAACATCGGTGGCCAGTTGGAGTGGGACCCCTTTAAACATTGGTGGTCTGTTAGAGATGGGCCCCCTTACATTGGTAGTCAGTAGGAAAAGGGCCCCCTTACATTGGTGGTCAGTAGGAGAAGGGCCCCCTTACATTGGTGGCCAGTGGGAAAAGGGCCCCCTTACATTGGTGGTCAGTAGGAGAAGGGCCCACCTACATTGGTGCCCTATTGATAGGCGGATAAGGGGAGGGGAATTTAATGGTTTTGCTATGGTGCCCCATCACATAAAAAATATTCACACACAGTTTGATTTTATAACGAGACTATCCCCTAATAATTGTATCAGAACATGTTTGGTCATCTTCATGGTTGGGGCTTGGTGCGTCAACAGACCAGAGCTTAAAGGAGCACTTATCAGGTAAAATGTTATAATGTAAAGCTACTACATGAAATGAGAGAAATTAGTTTGTGGATCTTTCTTACATGCATTTATTTATGCTTCACTGCACATTTAAATGCATGCCAAGCTGCCCAGAAGATTTGACAGAGGAAGTGGTTGGGATAATGGGACACACCAAAGCCTTGCCAGCGGTGCTTGAGCAGTTGCAGCAATTTATTTTTTAACAAAGAAGATATATTAGGCTTCCCTGGGCTAGGTACTTTCAAGCAAAAAAAAAGAATGGCACCGCATCGCACCAATGTATTACACATGCACTGGTGCACCGCAGTGCCATAGGGTGAACGGGTGCTAAGGCAATTATCAATTTTGGGTCCAATCGAGCATGATGCTGGATGCTGGATACAATGATGCTGCTTACAGAGAAATGACTTTGCTATTATACATCTCTGTAAAGTATTTATCACTCTGTAAAATGTAACACAGCATGTTCAGGAAGAGTTTATGTACAGTCATCATCCAGTAAAAACGAATTCTGTTGTTGCTTACATAGCATAAGCCATCATTAAACCCCACCCATTTTTTTAGTTTTAGGTAGTAGTAATCAGGGGCGTCCCGAGGCTGGGTGACACCCGGAGCGGTGTCCGAGTGTCACCCCGCCGAGGCGTCACCGCACATGCGCTTGACGTCACCACGCGTGTGCGCGATGACGTCATCGCGCACGCGCGGCAGTATTCTGATACCTGCCGGCGGCCATCTTGGTGATGGACGCCGGCAGAGAGAGGAGGAGACAGCCACCCGGCGGGATAAGGTATGCCGCCGGGTCCCCTCCTCTCTCAAGATACTGTCGGGCGTTCGGTCCATGACCGAGTGCCCGACTTTTCAGAGGGGGGTGACACCAAAATGACAAAGTCATTTTGGTGTCACCCCTCCAATGGTGTCACCCGGGTGCGGGCCGCACCCCTCGCACCCCCCTTGTGACGCCACTGGTAGTAATATTCTGCAAAAAATACAGCATTGCCTCCTCCCATCTGCTTAAAGGGAATCAGCACTTTTACCTCAATAATCCATCACGTTATTGTTCATTTTAGGCATGTAAGCTGCGGAAAAATTCGGTTTGGTTCAGATATTTCGTTATTTCAGAATTCAGGAATTGGATCCGAAATTCAATTCGGTTTGGGTTTCAGACGAAATCCGAATTTTCATTTGTTTCGGAAGAGTTTACAAATATTTGTTGCGAATACCACAGAAAACTATATACAGATATTAATACTAAAGCTGAGGCTCCCAGACCTGATTGGCATACAGGATCCGAATTTCCGAGTGGCATTCGGGAGCTCACGAATGCCATTCGGGTCTGGGAGCCATATACTGTACATATATTACTAAAGCTGAGGCTCCCAGACCCAAATGGTATTCAGGATTGAATTTCTGAATTGCATTGGGGAGCTCCAGAATGCCATTCGGGTCTGGGAACCTCGGCTTTCGTATTATATGTATATGGCTCCCAGACCCAAATGGCATTCGGGAGCTTCCCAATGCAATTCGGAAATTCAATCCTGAATACCATTCGGGTCTAGGAGCCTCAGCTTTAGTATTATGTGTATATACTGTATATGGTACCCATGTTGCCGTAACAAAATTTCGTGTTCTGACCCATTCGGATGCATTGAACCGAAAAACACATCTGATTGGTCAGAAAAGTCACATGTCCGATTCAGTGTCGTTTTTGAAGGAAATTCGGACGGGATATAATGAACAATAAAGTAGTTGATCTTCAATCTTGTGGGAAAGGAATAGGGAAGGGAAGGGGGTAACAGGGTTGGTGGTAATGGTGGGAATCCCAGTTAAAGGGAAATGACACCTTTTAATAAATATTAATAATTGCTATAAAAGAAAACAAATGTTCATCTATTATTTTTTTTGCTTCGGAGCCAGTAAAGCATTGTAACTGCGATCAGTGGATTGCGGGTGCAATGCTCTGGCTCCTGCAGACTCTTCCCTTAATCCATGTCTGTAACTCGCCATGGGCATTCATAAGACCAGTATTATTCTTTTGGATATGTTTTATATCTGTGATATTTATGAATATTTGTAACATTAAAATATAATTCATTTCTTCTTGTTCCAGCTTCCAGCCTCCAGTGTTTCCATTATAATGGCCTGCCAGACCGCGCCCAAGAGGAACAAGTGGCGAAAACCTGTGAGAGCACTCACCAACACTGCAGCTCCTCTCTTTATACATATAGCAGTGAGTATCGGAATAAGCTGACCCAGGTCATGTTAAGCATGTAATGAGACAAGCCTGTACTTGATTGCTGCTGTCAGACAGGAAGGAGGAGGAGCTTAGTATGCTAATAAGTTCACATCAAAGTTAGAGCATGGTTGTATGAGACATCATTAGAAGAGGACCATGTGCTCCCTCGGTGGTAACAAAGATGCAGTGAGGAGGAGCTTGTACTGCCTAGTATTATTTGGGATGCTTTGGTGTAAGGCTTCTACCACCCACTTGTTAGCAAGCATGCACTAGGCAGGTGCTTGTGTCACCTACTCATTGGCAGAGATGTGGTAGGGAGGAGCTTATGCTGCCTACCTGTTAGCAGAGATATAGTTGGGAGGAGCATGTGCTGCCTTCTTATCAGTGATATAGTTGGGAGGAGCTTGTGCCGCCTGCCTGCTAGCAGAGATACAGTGGGGCGGAGCTAGTGCTGTCTGCTTCTAAGCAGTGATATAGCTGGGAGGAGCTTGTGCCGCTTGCCTGTTAGCAGATAGATAGTGGGGAGGAGCTTGTGCCACCTGCCTGCTAGTAGGGATAAAGTGGAGAGGAGCTTGTGCTGCCTTATGAGCAGTGAGATAGTTGGGAGGAGCTTGTGCTGCCTGCCTGTTAGCAGATATATAGTGGGGAGGAGCTTGTACTGCCTGCCTGTTAGCAGATATATAGTGGGGAGGAGCTTGGGGAGAATGTATTGCATTTGCACATCCACTGATCTAATGCAGCCATTCGCCAGCCTGAATTCCTGTCTGCGGTAATGTAAACGTATTGCTGGGGATCCTGACTGATGCCATGACCAAATATTATCATGACCATGGTGACATTTCCATTACTTACCAGAGGAAAAGGGTTAGGGGGCATCATTGGTTTGTACTGTCTATGGGTATAAAGTAACTGCTCTTATATTCACGTCTAGAACTGTTGAACGGAATGGTGCTGGTGAAGGGCTGTTCTACCGGGAAGAACTGTAACCAAACCCAGAGCGGCCCTGTGAAGTTCGTCCACACCAGCGAGACCGTCCTGTGCTGTGACACTGAACTGTGCAATGAACACTTAGTACCAGGTGAGTGCCGATTCTGAAGACCGACCACACAGCTTGCAGTCAGTCTAACACAGGAGTCAGTTAAGAGGAACCAACCAGGGTACAAATATATAAAGTTCAGGGTGAAAGTTCACTGCCCTACCAGTTTCAAGGAAAAGCCGAGCACCCTGGGGAAATCTGCATACAAACTCCATGCTGATAGCATCCCCAGTGGAATAATAACTCATGACTGCAGTGCTTCAAGCCAAGAGTACTAACATTGAGGTACCCTTATTATTGCAGATCTAGGAGAGGATCCACGGATAGAGTGTCTGGCATGTCACGGGCATCCCTCATCTTGCGGGGGCAGCAGTCACCCCAGCCTGAGATGTGGGAAGTCCCAGAAATCCTGCATTGAGGTCTCCATTACCACTGCACTCAGCCAAGGTATGTACTCTCATTTATTATGGTTGGGGTTAAAAAATAAAATAGTAACATATATATATATTGCATATAAATATTTTGTATGTTAATTTTACGCCACTTGGTAGAGCTCTAGGCGCTTTATTATGTGTATTGCTGGGCTATTCTTACTCGGCTTTGCTTATCAAATCCTGTTGTTTACAGAGATCAGTAGCTCAACCTAAAATTCACACACACAAATAAAGCAATATATCCCCCCTGCTCTCCTTTTGTAAGCACCTACCTTTATTGCATCCCAGTGCTGTTGATTTCCTGAAGCCTCTTTTCCGCCACTTCCTGTCTACATGCACTTCAGCAATGGTTGCGTGGCATTTCCTCAGATCGGGTTGCACCATGCCTGTGTAATATGTGTGGAAATGGCTGCGTGTAGTCTCTATCAAATGCCTGTGTGGTACAATGACAGCACAGAAGCACAACTGGGAGACGGGCATTCCAGCAACTAGATGGAGACCAGGAATTTCCAAAGCTCCTCTGCTTCATCTAGTGGCGGGAATGCCGTGCGAATGACATCTGCTCAAATATACACTATACATCAGCCCCTATAGGTCAGGAAGCCAATAGCCCTTGGAAGGCAATAAATGATCCAGCCACCCACTTTCCACCATGACTTTTAGGTGGCGTTGGCCCTTTAAAAGCTCCGGGCTGCCAATGATTCAGAGCTCAGTCACATAAAGCGCAGCAAATGGTTTCTTTTACTGTCTCTGCATGCTGTTTATATAGCAGTGAGACTGTTAGAACTTTTTATTGCTATATTTTATGTTTCCGGGACCCACCTTCTCGCTGTTTTGAAGGCGACGCTAAACCTGATGGAGCTTTCTAATACAACTTGTTCATCAGACGCTGATTCATTTATAGGACTTTGCCTGTAGCCCAGTAAACAGTAATAGCCGTATGAAGCTGAAATCGTTTTTGTCAGATATTGCTTTCTCTTCTGAAATATTTGCACTGAATGAAGCACATTTTGGGGTCTACTTGTAAACAATACGCAGAGCCATTGGCCCAGCCAATCAATGTATTTTCAAATATCATCTTGTAATACCACATTATGGCCACTAGATGGAGCCACTGAGCCAAGTACAGTTAACTCCCCGTTATGCGGAATCCACAAGGATGGGTAGAATCCCGGATAAATGTAGTTTCTGGTTGCTTGAGATATACTATTAAAAATAGGTATAACTAATGCCATGCCCCATACTATACCATGCCCCATACTATACCCTGCCCCATACTATACCCTGCCCCATACTATACCCTGCCCCATACTATACCATTTTATAACATAACTCGGTATTGACTTCATATTAATATTGAAATGCGGTTATCAAAAGCAATCAAGACAAATAGACACCATTAGTATTAGTGCTGTAATATAGGTGTTGTAATCAGGGGTGTTCCAAGGCCGGGTGGTACTCGGAGCGGAGAAGGGGTGACACCCCGCCGTGATGTCATCGCACACTTGCCAATCTTATTGACGCCTGCCATCGGCCATCTTGGTGATGGGCGCCAGCAGAGAGAGAAGGGGACGCTTATCCGGCGGGATAAGGTATGCCGCCGGGTCCCCTCCTCTCTCCTGACACTGTCGGGCTCTCAGTCCATGACCGAGTGCCCGACTTTTCATAGGGGGTGACACCAAAACGACTGTCAGTCATTTTGGAGTCCCCCCTCCAATGGTGGCACCCGGTGTGGAACGCCGCTCCGCACGCCCTTGTGACGCCACTGGTTGTAATGCAGTACTAGGAGTGATCACTAGGTGGTTCGCAGACGACTGTTTCCCGGATAATACATGCCGCGGATAAGCAAATCAGTGAGTACACAGGGGATTTTTTTTCTGTTTAGATGAGAGTTCGGGTTAGTTGAATACCGGATAACAGAGAGTTTACTGTATTTATTTCCTATACTCCTCAGCGCCATCTAGTAGCCATAATGCAGTATTACAAGATGACATTTGAAAATATATTTATAAAGAAAGTATAACAAAAATATTTGCTTTGTGCATCCACTTGCATACAGCAAACATTCACAGAGATTCGCTGGGCCAATGACTCTGCAAATCATTTATATATAAAACACTCTCTGATATTCTTTGAACCCCAACTACCAGTTGTCACAGTGGCATTGCAATAGCCATCGCCCTGCCCCTCACCTCTCTACCTAACCCTTAGGGCAGGAGCAAAGGGGATATTATAGAGCAGGGGTAGCCAAACTTCAAATCTTAGCTACCCCTGCTATAGAGTGTCACTTGAGTGACAGCCCTGAGTCTACTGGGGCTGCTGACATCACATCCAAGATGGCGGCACCTAAAAGCAGTCTCACGGTTTTTGGATGTCTACACAAGGGGGGCTTATACACAGGGCCGGATTTACTCTCTCTGCTGCCCCAATGCAGGGTTCCTCAATGCGCCCCCCTATATGCAGGCTACATACAAGTGATCTTGTACAAAACAAGCGGCAGCTTCCCCGCTGTACATTTAGCTCTGCTTGCCCAAAGCAGCGCTAAATGTAGAAAACAACTACCCGCCTGGTCAACGGAACTGCATGTCCCGGGCGTCGGGAGATAGGAATTCAACCCCCCTGCTGCCCCTCTACTTCCTGCTGCCCCAAGGCCGGGCCTCGGTTGACCTTGTGGGAAATCCGGCCCTGCTTATACAGGTAAATACCATGCATCAAATACGTTAAATGTATATAATCTTTTGGGAAGATTTGTATTTCTATTTATGGTCTGGGGACACAATCTCCTTGAAGAACTGCAAGTGCAGTGTACATATCAATGGATGTATGAAAGTAGAGAAATATGTTGCAAAACTATTTTAAAGTAGTAGATGAGATTTTCCCAAATCTTGAATATGCAAATGAGATTTCCCGACTGCCAAGGTAATTAGATGTAAGAGCTTAAATGTAAATGTCAATTATTGCTGTTGCAAGGTCTTGTTCTACCGGTACTGAGACCATAGACTTTCTGCACGTACAGCACCATCTAGTGGCTGAGAAGAACAGCCAGGGTTCACCAAGTTTTTTGCATGACTCCCACCTGCCAGCAATAAAAAAAGGATGGGGAGAAGTGGTAGACACAAAAAAATAGTATATAAAGTAAAAGTAAAGTAAAAGAAATAAACAAATAAGTAATACTGTCCACAGACCTGTGAGGGAGAGTGTTTGTTCACGTATGAGCAGAGCAAGTTGTCTGCAGAGTGCTCTATAAACTTGGGCTTAGTCAAATTCATGCCAATGGACATGGAAGAGATAGGGAGCTGAGACAATGAAGCCAGCACCAGGAGCAGGAAGACAGAATAGAGAGCTGGAGGCAGAAAACCAGCACTGGGACAAGGGGCAGGGTGTGTGCATTCGGAAATGAGAGCAGGAAACCAGTACCAGAAGCAGGGAGTCTGCATAGGGAGCTGGGATGAAGAAGCTAGAATTGGGAAGTGGGAGTAGGAAATTAGTACTGGGAGTGGGAAGCCAGCTCCAAGAGCAGGAAGCCACCAGTGGTAACAGCATGGGAGGAAGCACTGAGAGCAGTAATCCAGCACCAAGGGCAGTAAAACCAGCAATAAGAGAATGGCATGTGCACCAGGAGCAGGAAGCCAGCAGAGAAAGCTAGGGATAGGAAACTGGCATCAGAATCAGGAAGACATCAGTGGGAACCAGCGCCAAGAACATGGAGCAGCACCAAGAGCATTGAACCAGTTCCAGCAGCATGAAGCCAGTACCAAGAGCAAGGAGCCAGGTCCAACAGCATGAAGCCAGTACCAAGAGCAAGGAGCCAGGTCCAACAGCATGAAGCCAGTACCAAGAGCAAGGAGCCAGGTCCAACAGCATGAAGCCAATACCAAGAGCAAGGAACCAGCACCAAAAGCATGGAACCAGCACCAAAAGCATGGAACCAGCTCCAAGAACATGAAACCAGCACCAAAAGCATGGAACCAGTTCCAAGAACATGAAACCAGCACCAAAAGCATGGAGCCAGCACCAAGAACATGAAATCAGCAAAGAGAGCACCTAGTGGAAGGAACCAGCACAGGGAGCATGGAACCAGCATTGAGCGAAAGGAACCAGCATTGAGAGAAGGAAACCAGTACAGACAGCATGAGACCAGAATCGAGGGAAAGAAACCAGCACAGAGAGCACGGGACCAGCACAGGGAGCATGGAGCCAGCACCAAGAGCATAGAGCAAGTATCCAGAGCAAGTAGCCAGCGCCATGAGCTTGGAGCCAACCCTGAGAGCAAAGAGCCAGTTCCAAGAGCAGGGGATTGGCACAGAGAGCAAAGAGTCAGTAGCAAGCATATGGAACTAGCACCAAAAGCAGGGAACCAGCACCAAGTGCTAGGAGCCAGTACCAAGAGTATAGAACGATCATTAAGAGCATGTAAAAGGCACCATGAGCAAAGAGCCAGTTTTGACAACAAAGAGCCAACACCAAGAGTAGGGAGTCAGTACCAAGAGCATAGTGCCAGCACCAAAAGCAATGAGCCAGTATTGACAACAAAGAGCCCGTACCAAGAGCATGAAACCAGCATCGAGAGCAAGGTGTCAGTTCTAAGAGCATGGAACCAGCATTGAGAACGAGGTGCCAGTACCAAATGTAGGAAGCCAGAACCAAGCGCATGAAGCCAGTACCAAAAGCATGGAACCATCACAAAGAGCATGGCACAAGCACCAAGACCAGCATAGTGGGCAAGGAGCCAATACTGAGGCCTACTAGCTATGGAAACAGGACAAGGACACAATATTTTATAATAGTTGCTTTGAGCAAACTTTGTATTTAGACTTTTATTTTTGGATAGATACTTATAAAGGATAATTGACACCCAAGTGCGCATCTGGATACTTCTTTTGGGTTAGCGTCTCCCTTCCTTGTCAGGATGACAGCCAGGCAACAAGCTTTTGCTGAATGATAAGTCAGCAATTATTAGACACAACATTGCACTCATGTTACCTATAAGTAATTTTATTATAATTACAATATTAGGGATTTGTTTTGTTATGTATCCTTTTCTTATTGCTGAACAGATTTGTGTTATTTTTCTATTATTTTCAATTTATAGAAACCCTCTATGACAAGGGGAGGTCAGAATATTGCACGTGGAGGTCAAACCGCTCTCCGCAGCTTTAGCACGCAGTTCCTTTCTTTAAGTTTTCCTTCCCTGAAGCCTAAATTACTCCTAATAACACGCTCTGTCTTGTCCAGCAGTGCATTAGTACTGACAGATTAGAATGGCTTTAAGAGTGGTCTTGCCCACCTTAATAACCTATTGCTATTAAGCCAAGAAAAAAAAAAATAGCTTGATGGCAAATGTTAGAAAAACACGGGGGGGAATAGTCAGCTGTACTCTGATTTGACAGCTATGTCAAGGCATACATACAAAGAATAGTCTTTATGCACTAATGCGGTATGCATAGTACATTTGACAGCTCGCAACAACCTTTTCATGCAGCAATAGTTTTATTGTGAGGCAGCGCCATCTAGTGGATAAATTAGGGTACTGCACACTGCATAACCAAAACGCTTTTGTTCCTCTTTTTTAGGGGAAACATTTTATAATAATAAAAAAAATCATCTTTTATATTAAAAAGTAACTGGGGAAAATATGCATTAATCATGTCTAAACTAATGATAGTAAGTGAGAGGCAAACTCACGGGTCGAGGCACAAACAGCAATGAAAAGCACTCTCTTGTAGTATGGTTGGGAAGAGTTAGAAGAAGCTGTGTTGGGTTTTTATTGCTCGAAAGGAGAGGTGGAGGTGAGGTGATGAATGTGGACTCCTGACAGATAATAGAAGAAGTCGTAAAGAAAAATGGCTTGTGTTAAAACAGAGGCCTCTCTCATAGTACAGAGGTCATCCGAATAGAGACGTCGGTATGTATTGCAACCAAAGAGGGTGCCAAACAAATATCCAAAATGGTGGTTTATTGATTCTGCAGATGACAACAGGAAACACTAAAAACATGCAGCACATTTTGGGGGCTCAGCAACCCCCCTTCATCAGAACTTTAAGACTTATCTAAATGTCAGCTGAACTCAGATCAAAGCGGTGGAGTAATGAGTTCCCATCTGGGAGTTTCCTCTTAAGTCCTGTCCTAGTGACAACCTGTGTGTCATGGTGTCACCATGCAACATGGACACAGACAGCAATAATAACCTGACCAAGGTTCTAAGTCTTTCTTATGTTATCCAAACTTTAAACATTAAAAGTTTGGCTTTAAAATTAACCTGTCAGAACAAAAGAATTTTCAGCTAGCCCGGCCCTGACCATCTGCGTCCTGAAAAGCAATGCAGCTTGTTATAGACCGTGATTGGATAGTGAAGGAGTAGCGACTCACTGATAAGGTCATCTATTTTCTCTCTCCTCCAGTCAGCAAACTCCATTTGTCAGCTTCGAAGCACTGGGCAATGCAGTAAATGCCATTTTACAGTGCTGCCCCCCCTTGCGCCCCCGTCTTAAGTGCAGTGCAGGAGATGACTGGATACTAAAACATATTATATATATATATATAGGGATGCACTGATACCGCTACTAGTATTGGTATCGGTGCTGATATTTGGGCAAGTACTCGTGCTCACCCAAATGCTCCAACACTTACTCCGGATACTGGAACTTCCGGCCAGGGGGAGATTTCCTCTGACCGGCAGTGCCGCGAGGGAACATGGAGCCGGCTTTCCAACCAATTAGGAAGCCGGGTGGCGGGTAATGACTCGCTGCCCGGCTTCCTGGTTGGCTGGGAAGCCGGCTCCATGCTGTTTGGCCAGCTCGATGCTGATTGACTGGGAAGCCGGCTTAATGCTAGCTGAAGTACCAGTACTCGGTATAGGCGAGTACCGAAAGACAATGTGTACTCGTTACCAAAAAACGGTATCGGTGCATCCCTATGTGTGAATGCTGGGTGAAAGTCGTATGAAAACATTTGACTCTCTCCTCTTTCTTTCCCTCTCTCTCCCTCTCTCTCTCCTCTCTTTCTTCTCTCTTCTCTCTCCCTCTCCTCTCTCCCTCTCCTCTCTCCCTCTCCTCTCTCTCTCTCCTCTCTCCCTCTCTCTCTCTCACCCTCTCTACCTCTCTCTCGCTCTAGATCGG